CTAACCTCCCTTCCTGTGCCCTGCTCCTCAAACGTCCACTCCCACCCACCTCAGTGCTCACCTGAACCCCACCCACCACAGTGCTCACCCGTGCCCCCACCCACCTCAGTGCTCACCCGTGCCCCCACCCACCACAGTGCTCACCCGTGCCCCCACCCACCACAGTGCTCACCTGACCCCCACCCACCTCAGTGCTCACCTGTGCCCCTCTCTATAAAAGAACAGTATATACCATGAGTCCAACTCTCCTCTGCTTCTTCTCCTCTCTCCCTTCTGCTCGCTGTGATCCACACACCAGACACACTCCATTTGCTTTACAGACTTCTGATAAGCCAGGTATTAGAAAGGACACATTCTGAGTAAATCAGTCCACAGTGACTAGAAGCATCAGTTAAATCTCCCTTAGCCTCCCCTATGTTTCTAGTTGGTAGAAATCCAGAGATCGAATTTTAAGCTGACATTCTTCCCTTAAATTCAAGAACTAGATGCAGTGTAATGGCTTCCCACTTATAGACCCAAGTTGTAGGCAGAGACGGGAGACTGTCTGTCTGTATGTATGGACTGAATGCCTGCTTACACACCCTGCTCATGTGGTGAGCCCTCAGTCCCCAGTGAATTTGTATATGGAACCTTTGGGAGCTAAGTCAGGGTGAGGGCTATGTTCTAAGAACAGGAAGAGACCAAGTTCACTGTCTGTGTGCACACAGCAAAGAAAGACATGCATGGATATCACCAGGGGACTCTCGCAGGCACTGGGTCATGCAGCCTTTTATCTTGGGCCTCCTGCCCCCATGACAAGCTTCCCTGTCATCAGCCTAGAATGGGATCTACACCTCGGGATCCAGAGGTGTAGATGGGCGCAGTGTCAATCCCACCAGGTGAGAAAGGCTCTAGAGCAGCAGAGATGGCTCAGTGGGTAAAAGTGCTGGCAACACAAGCCTGAATACGTGAGTTCGGTCCCCGCTACTCGTGTTTCAAAATAAAAGCCTAATTCAGTGGTGTACCTCTGTAACCTCAGAACTCCTCCTTGAGATGGGAGACAGGGATAGACTCACCCAGAAGCTCACAGACCAGCTAGCCTGGGGTGCACAGCACAGCAGCAACACCAACAATATAGACTGCCTCAACAAGGGTGGAAAGAGCGAACTCCTGAGAGTCGTCCTCTGAACTCCGCGTGTGTGCTGTGGCACCTGCTGGCAAGCCGACACACTAGTTAATCCTTTAAAAAAATTAAAACTGAAGATAAAAAAATAACAATTAGTTTATGAAAAGAGAAGGAAAGAAGAATCCTAAGGTCTGTGTTGGGGAAGCGCACAGCCTTGACCTGCTGAAAGAACACAAGCGAAGCAGGTACTCAGGAGCTTGGGTACCAGTGAGAGGCAGATGCAGCCATGGGCACAAGGCCTTCTTAATAACAAAGAGGATCTGAAGCTTGACTCTGTTTGAAAAACAAACCCAACTACTGCAGTGTAAGATAAATACCTTCCAGAATAAGATGGTACCAAGTGGTGACAGAGATGAAGAGAACTGTCAATGGAATTCCTGTCTCGCCCCCTTCCTCGCTGCTGAGCTTCAGTGTGACAAGAACCTCTCACAGGGCTTTCTAAAAACAAGTTCTTGCTGGTGTCATGCCCTTGTGGGAGGACCAGGCTGTTGCAGTGGGGTCAGGTGTTAACCATATATAAACCCCATTTCTACTCGGCTTCCAGGGGAGCTTTCTTCATTACAAAAATATCATTGTTTGTTATGATGCTCTAGTTCCCAGTGGGACCATGATAGAGAAAATCAGATGAAGGGAAGTGGAAAGATGAATAATCACAGTGGACTGAGACTCTTATTAGATGAGATGTGGCTAAGGAATGTGGAAGAACAGATGATTATACATGGTGCTTTTTGAAACTGGTGGGTGTGGAGAGTAAGATGGAAATGAGGCTGACAGCCCTGGAAATTCCCTTTCAGAGTTCGTAAGCCAACACAACCGTCAAATGCTTTGGTGTTTAGTAAATTTACTCACTGATATAATAGAATACTATATACTAATGATTTTAATCATTTTTAAATTTTTATTTATGGGGACAAGGCAGGGCGCACCACAACACATGTGTGGAGATTGGAGGACAATTTGCCAGAAGTCTGCTCTCTCTGTTGTATGAGGCCATAGGGACCGATTCAGGTCATCAGACTTGGTGGCAAACCCCTTACATGCTGAGCCATTCCACTAACCCACATTATATAATTAAATACTAATACTTTATAGTAAAGTTATATACACCAGTTTTACTCTTTCATCAAAGAAGTGTGTGCCCAAGCCCTCTGATTAGACCAGTTCTATCCTCTTGCTTCTTGATCTGCTGTAAGGCTAGTTTAGCCCATAATCACCGCTGAAAGAATGTCAGGAAGCAAAAGGAAGAAGAGAGTGGTGTAACCGCAGTTAATGTCTCAAGCTTGGTCTTTAGGTGGAGGTTGTCTCCCGTCCTTTTTTATATCAAATGTATTGTGTGTTTAGCTTTAATTCTAAACTTGACACAACTTAGAACCACCTGTGAACAGACTCTTAATGGAGGGCTGCCTAGATCAGTTGGCCTGTGGGCGTGACTCTGGGGGACTGTCTTAAGTTAACTGATATGGAAAGAACCAGTCCACTGTGTGTAGCATATTCCCTAAACACGGGTTATTAAACAGTGGAGAAAGTGAGCTGAGCACCAGCAAGCAAGAGAACATGGATGCACTCTTTTCTCTGCCCTTGACTATGAATGTGTTGTAACTAGCTATTTGTCTTTTAAGTCCCTGCGGCTTTGACTTCCCTCAGTGAACTATACCCTGGAATTGTGAGCTCAGATAAATCCTTTCTACCCTAAGTTCTTAGATTTGTTTGAGGGGATGGTTTGGTTTTAGTTTGTTTGTTTCTGAATTCAGACATCTTATCACAGCAACAAAAATGAACTAGAACACACTTCCTGGGTCAGAGGTGGTGCTGTCTCATCCACAGTTTAGCTTACTAGAAGAGAAAAGTTGCAAACAAACAGAAGAAAACACAGACAGATGGAAGAGCAGTTTGCAAGATGAGAGGTTGTATGAAAACGCGGTGAAAAGGCCATTACACTGTCAGGGAAAGGGTACAGAAGGCACTGCCTACCTGCACTCTCTGATCAAGACAAGTAGCAACTCCCTCACAAACAGTTACTGACCAATGGTGCTTATTCTTTCGAGGGATTATCCTGGTGGTCCAGTGGTGGCTGACTGAACCAGGAACACCTCTCTAGGGTGCTTCTTTGCTGTACCCGATTATCAGAGAACAAGTTCAAAAGATTAGACTACATAAAGGTGGCATTGGCTTCATTTACTTTGTCCTTCGTGGCCAATATTCAATTAAACAGCTAAGGGAGTGGCAACAGGAAACAGGTTCTGTTCTATATCAGATGACTTTGTCTCAATTCCTACTGTGCAAGAGATGGAGTTATGGCCCCATATATCCCTTACCCAAACCAGTCTTGGTGAGCCTTCATCATCCCTTCCTTAAGATGTTGGGATGCTCTGTTTTCCTCAAGAAACATGTGGGGGTGGGGAAGAGCACTTGACTGCTCTTCCAGTGGACCCAGGTTTCATTCCCAGCACACATATGTTGGCTCACAACTATCTATAACTCTGGTTCCAGACGATCTGATGCCCTCTTCTGCCTCCTTAGACACAGACATACATGCAGGCAAACATTCGCACACATAGAAATCAATAGTCTTTGGTAAAAGGAGAAAGAAAGAAAAATAATCATACAGGGCAGAGCATCAGCAGCAAGAGCTCCTTTGCCTGTGACATCGCTCACTGATACACAGACAGACACACACTTCACTGAGTGGCTCCTTTGCCTGTGACATCGCTCACTGATACACAGACAGACACACACTTCACTGAGTGGCTCCTTTGCCTGTGACATCGCTCACTGATACACAGACAGACACACACTTCACTGAGTGGGCTGCATTTATTTGGGGGGATTTATAAATCTCTTGTTTTAGATTAAGAAATACAGTACATTTATATAGATTTTTGTCTTATAATTAAATCTTTAGTGTGTTAACATTTTAAAACAATAGGAAAGGAAGAGAATGATTGAGAACCAAATGTGGCTCTATAGAGATTGCTCAGTGGTCAGAGCACTGACTGCTCTTCCAGAAGAGCTCAGTCCATGCAAACTTTCCAAAGGTGTCACTTCTACTACCTTCACTTACCCGTTAAGATCTTAGAAGTAGAAAAAGCCACCAAAATGCCCAGTGGTAGCGCACACCACCTGTCTACCTGTGTTGGAGGCTTGGGGGCACAGCTGTGCAGATCCCCAGCACTAGTACCTTTGTCACCATATGAATCCTACCAAGCACTTCAGTAGTCTGCAAGAGTGTCAGTCAAACCAGAGGCATGCTATGAGTTGTCCCCCACCATGGTCTGTCCCTCTCATACTCTGCATAGTCTGTCCCTATCAGAATCTGCATCTTGGTGCAGAAAAGGCCTCAGAGTTGGCACAGTGGCCTTCCTCATAAGCAGGGATGAGAGAATGGTGTTTATTTAATAAGATGCTGAAAGTGTGTTAACAGGGATTTTCTTTAAGATTTATTTACTTTTTTTCATGTGTGAGTGTTTGGCCCTCATGCTATGTATATGCACCATGTGTGTGCCTGGCACCTGAGGGGGCAGAAGAGGGCATCAGATCCACTGTAAATGGAGCTAGGGGCAGTTGTGGGTTGTCACATCAGTGCTGGGTCCAAAGCAAGAGCAGCAAGCTGAGTCCTCCCTCCAGCCCCAGTAAACAGGGACCATTCATGCCAGGACCATGTGTTCAGGCTGAGGAACTTATCACTGTATATAGTTCTTCATTTCAATGTCATTTATTATATGCTTTCTGACAATAAATATAGAAAACTGTTTGTGGGTGAATAGATGGTTTTCGAAGGCTTCTTATATCCAAAACAGACATTTCTGGGGTATAAAAGATTTGTTTTTCATTTTAGATAACATACATACGACAAGAATATGAAACCAAATTCAAAGGGTTAATGCCTGCATCTCTGAGACAAGAACTTGAGGACACCATTTCCTCCCTGAAGTCACAGGTAACTCCTAGAGCCGAGCATGCTCCAAGATGTGGGTGTGGCGTAGGTGGGCATGCCTTCTGAAAAGAAGCTGGCAACTAGCCTGATCCTTCCTCACTCCAGAAGTCACTGTGAGCCCCACACTTGCCCATCACCAGCATGAACTGGGTTAGTGCCCTGAAACTGGGTCAGCCATGGCAACTTTGATTCATTCACAGTCCAGTGCAGTTTTACCCCCTCCTCTTGGCTCAGGGTCTAAAGTGCCTTTCTGCAACCACTGCTGCTTCCTCGCTATACTAAAATACAGAGGAACGAAGCATCTTTAGTTTAGAAGCATTTTTTTCTGATATGTTTTATATGGTTATCAAAGATATATATTTTAAGTCCAATGCAAAATAGTGTTGATATTCAAACAATTAGGTTTGATATTTCTTATTGAAGTATGTGGTTCCTAAAATGTAAGGTGAGAGATGAATACTTGGGAAACTGAGGCAGGAGGATCACAAATTCAGGGCCAACCTGAACTACATAGCAAAATCCTCTCTCAAAACAAACAGACTTTTGTATTAAATGTTGTCTTAAGGGTTTGGGGGTTTTGGGGGCAGGGGTTGAGATGGTGTTTTACCCTGTGGCACTAGCTGTCCTGGAACTTGCTCTGTAGACCAGGCTGGCCTGGAACTCACAGAGATCTGCCTGCCTCCACCTCTTCAGTATTAGAATTAAAGTTGTGTGCCATCATGTATTGAATGTTTCATGCATAGTCAGCCTATGAGGTTTTCTATGTGTTTGGGGGTATTTGTTTGTTGTTTGGGGTGGTTTTGGTTTTGTTTTTTATTGTTGTTTTAGAAAATGTCTACATAGTTCTGACTGTCCTGGAACTCACTGTGTAGACCAGGCTGACCTTGAACTCAGAGAGATCTGCCTGTCTCTACCTCGGGGTTAAAGGTGAGCACCACCAAACCTGACTACCTATCAGTTTTGAGCTCCCACATGAGGAGTCTGCATAGTCTTATTTACAACACACCGGGAAACTCTAAAATGTCTGAGTTCCTGTAATGGTTCTACAAGGGAAGGGCTTCTGCATTCTGAATGCTAAGAACTTACCTGGCACATAGCAGGTGCTCTTTAAATAATAAAATATCCAATGTAGTTTGACATGATGTGCTTATAATATGTAAAATGACTGTGTGACACCAAACATGGTGATGTATGCACCTTTCATCCCAGCACGTGGAAGGCAGAAGCAAGTGGAACTCTGAGTTCAAAGCCAACTTGGTTTATATAGCAAATTCTTGGCCAGCCAGGGCTACACAGTGGTGGGGAGGAAAAAAAAAGATTGTGACGTTTGCTTGGGTCAGACTGACCTAAAACTTGCTAAGAAATGCAGGCTGGCCTCCAACTCCTGAGAGCCCTGCCTCAGCGTCCAGGTCTTGAGCCATCGTGCCAACCTGAATCAGATGTTAGCTGATGCTTTCCTATTTCCCTCGGTAAGAAGGCTGAAGTGAAGGGTCCTTTCCATCAGTCCTCCCTGCTGTCCCCTGCTGCCCTTGGCGGCTTCTGATAGGCTCTCTGTGCTGGCCTCTGCATATGAAGACAAATGGCTGAAGAAGAGAGCATAGCGCAAAGGGCACACAACTTTTTTTTTTCTTTTTATGTGAAAAGCACTCAGAGGTATGGGTTACCTGTCAACTTCTCAGAGGAGTGACCATGGGGTCAGCTACAAGGGTCTGATGCCCTCAGTGGAGATTCTTATTTTGGAGGCACGAGGGCGGGGCAGGAAACCCAATACCCACCTGCATGGCTTCTGGTATGGTTCATATCATCTCACTGTGACAGAAGCCACTTCAGCCTCCTGGAACTGGATGCTGACCCAGAGAGAGCGTGCTGCCAGCTGCATGACGGCCTCGGAGTTGGCAGCTGCGCGGAGGAGTCGAAGGCCTTAGAGTGCGCAGATCCAGTTGAAAGGCACAGGTGCCTGTGTTTTTGAAAATTGTTGGAATTCCAATCGATCGCAAGGCAGGGTGGGGGAGGAAAGTTAAAGCAGTGTGCCCTGCATCTGTCAGGTTTATCAGTTGTCCTGTGGGTCATTTGAGCAATCAGATAAAATGGAGAGCGGGGCACTGTTGCGAATAAGCAAACCCAGGGACCGCTGTGGTACACACCCATTTGGGCAGCCTGTGCTTTCTCTCTTTCAGGCACATTTTTGGTTCTGCCAGCTGTACTCTTGCATAACTATGCCTCAGAACCAGCCGTTGCCATGGTTTCGACTCAGACCAAAGAAGCAAGAGTAAACAATTCTGAGCAGATCAAATGCCGCTGACTCTTGATTACATTAAACCATAGTTTAAGCTGTCCCCAAACTGTGTTTTATGTGGTTGGATAAGGTGTCTTTAATCGATGCCTGATATATAGGTGTCATTGATTCCATAGACATTTATACTTCAAAGAAGTCAAATGTACTATAAAGACCTCATTGGAGAAGTCATACTGGGCAACAGCTTCTTCTGACCCCAGGCCCTCCACCCCGTGGTGGTACCTTCTGGGGAGTCCATACTGGGCGTTTACTATGAGGCATATCTCACCACACTTAGGGCCCTAGGAAACCTCATTTCACAGATGACACAACAAAAGCTGAGTAACCTTCCTAGAGCCTTTAGAGGCCAAGCCAGGGATGGAGCTCAAGTTGGCCTAAGTCCAGGAAAAGCCCGGCTCTTTCCACTCCAAAAGCCTGTCTCTAACCTCAGGGAATCCCCAGAATGGATTTGAGGTTTCCAGAAAGCAGTAATTTTCTTTTCACTTGCTCTCCCGCTCATTGAGCAGCTTGTGCATACCAACTACATGCCCAGCCCTGCAAAAGAAACCGGGGACTGGGAGACAGACAGAGTCATCCCTTTGCAGAAAACCCTTAGGTTTGGGAACAGATGTGAAAACATAACCACAAGGCAGTGTTAGAAGGCATAGAGCCCAGGATGCAGAGGAGGGACTTCTGCCTTTGGACAGGGCTAGGTGGCAAGTGTTCCAAAGTGAGAGCCCTAGTCAAAGGGTGACAGAGTGAACAGCATGGTGTAAGGTGGCAGTGTGGGAAGGTCATGAGGACAGAGGGAGCCACCAACATAGAATGGCACCAGATCAAGATGGCCCCCGAGCTAGTTTATGGTTGGTTCTGTGACCTCTGATGGATTTTTGGTAGGGACAGGATGTGACCAGATGTAGGAAATTGCATTATTAATATTCACTTCCTCCTAGTTTTATCCAGAGAATTATCTGAGTTGAAGGGAAATGCCAGAATACTGTGTGTGCAGTGTTGACATATGCATTTACCTTTCTCATATGAGATATCTTTCTAGGTCAACTTTCTGCAAAAGAGAGCATCCATCCTTCAAGAAGAGCTGACCACCTACCAAGGCAGAAGGTATGAGCAGTAACGCCTTCCCATTAATTTGTTCTCTGTACCCCTGTAGTCTTTTAGCTTGACACGCAAATCTTCACTGAAATGTCTAGACACAAGATAAGTCTGGAAAGAAAGACATTCTTAATGAACAGCTTGTCTTTGAGAAGTCACCCACCTCTTTAATCACAGGCCTTAGATTCATCAGAACAAGATTTGGGAATCTCAGGGTGTGGCAAGTAGGGACCTCACCTGGGCAGTCAGGAAAGGTGTGGTCTTGAAGCCCAGCTGCGGACTGAGACACCATCTTCCTTTAAGACTGGCGTGATGCAATTCTCTGTGATGGCTCACGTCTTCAAAGCCCCTATCCCTGGGGGTTTGGCACTGTTCTCCAGACCAGAATAAGTCAATGGCTTTGTGGTGTTAAACATTCACAGAGATGGGGTATCCTGGTGTGCAGGACTGTGGGATACAGGAGCCCTTCTTTAAAGGTTTCCTGTGATATCACCAACCAAGGCGATGTTTGCTGATGGTCCAGGTCAGTCAGGCAACTTTGCTTTCAAGTGCAGTCACAGGCCGGACTGCTTACTTGGCATCGAAATAAAAGGAATGAGCTTGTGAATCATTTACTTTTCAAAAGATTTTGTGTGCCTGATGATGATAAGATCAGTTGCTTATAGGCATACGTGATGAAATTTTGATAGCAAATACCCTTTTGAACCTCCAGCTCCTTCAGAATTCTAACACATTTTACCATTGACAGACCTATTCAGGCTAAAAATCCTAACATGAGTTTTGATTTGCAGGTAACTGCATGGGAGAGCATGGCAGGTGAGATTGTCTGAGCTGCACCATGGACTTCGTCCAGCAGGTTTGAAGATTTGGATATTGTGAACTGTGAGATCAATGACTTTTTTTAATGCTTAAGTGTAATTGAGATCATAAAAACATGCATCATCCATACACTGGGTTGGCTTTATTTGTGTCTGCCTAAGTTATTTTTTACCATTTCTTTCTTTCTGACTCCATGTTTGTATTGAGTATATGCTGAAGACTGCTTACACTGGGCAGAGACATAACTGCCTGTGTGTGCTTTGGTAATGCCTTACAAGGATCTTGCAAGTTAGGCATGATTAGAATCATGATTATAGTATCATATCAAAACCCTTAACCTGTTAATGCTGTTCCCGTGTTCATGTTCATATGTTAAAATGTCATGTTGTACTATTTTGTTTTCTTTAACATTTTATCACACCTCATCATATACATGGTATTTTTCCCCAACAAATATTGACTACCTCAATTTCTGCTTTGAAGGAAAATACCTTATATCATGTCAAAGATCAACTCATAATTTCAGCATGAAACTGCTGTCCAGAGTCATATCGCTGTCATGCTTGTCCTGTGGGTCTCCAGCCTGATCCTGGGACTGCAGGGTTGCAGGCTGGGAACACTGTGCAGGCAGCTCTGGTTTTCCTGTTACTTTCTTGATGTCTCCTGTGTGGTTGTTGCTTTGATTGTCACATTGGTCTGTGACCCTTAAGAAAGCCTGACAGCATTTGACCGTGTTTTGAGGACACAGCCTATTGACAAGCAGCTGCGCCTATGCATCGGTCTTGTCTGCGATGTGTTTGCTCTTTATGAACAGAGGTTAAGCCTGGATTGCTTTTCCCACACCAGCTCTGTGCTGATTGGTCAGCTGGAGCTGCAGTTGCAAAGATGCTCCAGTTTCATTTGAGTGGTTCTGGGCTGAGCCATGGGCCTTTTGAGACCTCTAAAAATATAGTGAGTGGGAGGGGCAGAGCCTGTAACCTTCTGGTTTACTGTAAAAGAAGAGATAGTTTATTTACACTTATTCAAAGTTCTGTTCTCTCTTCCATGCCCAAAGCTGCCTGTCACTTGTCTGAGAACTAGTTGTCCTTTCTTGTACCTTGTCTGAGACATGGGGAAGATGAGGAAAAACCAGGTGTCACAGCCTTTCCAAAGCCGGGGCAGGCCAGTCTGTGTGGTGGCCATCCGTAGGAGGCTGGCAGCTTGCACAAAGTAATCTTTGGGGAACCACCACCTTCCTGGTGCTTCCCAATTGTCCTTCTCCCCCAGCCTCTCCTCCAGGAGTATAAATTTGTGTCCTGTGAATGATCGAGAACATTCGCAAAAACACAAAACATAACAGCTGCTATTAAAGCCACACAACCAATGACGACAGTTGACACTCACGTGGTGACTTAGCACTCGGAACAAAGAAGGCTATGTGGTTAGTGTTACATGCTTCTGCGAGGACCATGAAAAGCAGGTTGAGGTCAGAGGATTTCAAGGTTATTATCGGCCTGCAATGAAAATATTTAATGAGTTGTTTTGTTTGCTGGAATTGGAACTCCCACCCAGGGATATTTGTTTTCCATGAGTAAATATCAGTAGGTGTTTTGGAAACTTGCCTGCTATTCTTTCTTTTCTTTCTTTCAAGGGTTATGAAATTACAAACACTGATGAACCTTTGACATGAATCAGATCCCATTTCCCCTCTGCAGTGTGCCGAGCGTGTCTGGGAGAAAATCAAGTAAAACTTTGGGTCTGTTTGATTGGATGTGATAGGAAGGGGTAGCGGACACTCAAGTTTTTGTGAACATTCTCTGATAAAGGAAAAGAGAGGAAAATTGCTTTTGGCATGTTTGAAATTCCTTGCTGAGTTGAGTGTTGAGTATATGAGTGACTACTGGGACAAAACGCCAGTGCTCAGGAAATAAATTATCAACACTGTGCCTTATTATAAAATCATCTAGGGTTGCATCCTTGCTTTTATCTGAGGGAGGATCAATTGTTCATCGCAAGTGCCTAATTTAGTTACAGCTCCAGGTAGCGTTGCTGGCTACCATGCTTGAGCCTCCATCTGTGCCTTTTCTAGTCCAACATGTAATTGTCAACAGGTGGCGGCTGATAGGGCATTTGGAACGCTGAGAAAGGGAAGCTCGTCTCGAGGCGCTGTGGCTGGGTTTGAGTGTTGGATATTCTGCAGGAGTCAGGCCAGGGGAGAGCCCAAGGGAAGCCAGCAGTTCAGTCACCTGCCTGGATCATAGTTCTCTATCAGTCCATTTCTGTCTCCCCAGCAGTCGGACCTTTTGGGAGTCTGACCTCTGATTCTGCAACCTCCCCACTCACCAAAGAACTCCACAGAGGACTGCTATCAAGGGATACAGTGGAGAAGGAAGAAATCTGAGAGAGAGGGAACAGAGGACTGATTTGCTTCATAGACCGCACAAAAGTCTTGGCGGCAAGGTGGCTAGAAGGGACTTGCTTGTGTGCTGAGGCCATTCTGTAAATGCTGCATATTAACGATTCTTCAGAAACTGGCATGTGCTTATGATGGCGAGCAACCTCATTAAAGGGGTCTGTGGAGAAAAGTGCCGAGGGAAGGAACTGGGAGTTTGAATTAACAATTAACAGCGTCCTCATTGAAGTGCATCACCAGCCAGGGAAGGCAGCGGCGTTTGTGCTTTCTGTCTAAGGGTGAAAGGAAAGGTAAAACATCAAAAATGGTGGGAGAAAAGTTTCAGAACACAAGGTCATTTGAATTCATAGTTTCCTTAAAAGAGCTCTCTCTTCGGAGCTTTCATATTCTGTTCAGAAAGGTCGCCTCTTTTAAGCCTTGTCATTAAAGACAGTTTGCTCTTTAAAGTGAATTATCAAAGGGTCTAGAAATTGCGAGTTACTGAACTAAAATGCATGATCAATTTGAAGTGCTCTAACTAAAGCCTGCTTAGCTCTGGATGTGCTTTGTGCTGGCAGCCGCTTTGATAAAGCCAGGGGCAGGTACATGGTTGGCCAATTCAAAGTAGGGAAAGAAGATAATTAGATAAAACTTTCTCAACTCTCCGAGTGGGTCTTAACTTTAGAGGCTTGATTAGGAAGCTATGGTAGAGGCCCTAAGTGTATGTGAGGAGTGAAGTGGAATGCCCCAGGTCCTGATGGGGTGAACGCGAACCTTCACTGTATTGTTTTCAAATCTGGATCAAACTTCAGGTCGTATTGTTTGCCTCACACAGAGGAAGAGAATTGAAATTGGTGTCATGAAACCAAAGAATTGTTAAATCTGGTTCCCACCCCAGTATCAGAGGCAGCTAGGACCCTCTCCCCCTAGGCATCTCAGTTCGAAGGCAAGGTTTTCATTGACAAACATTTTTACACCGGAGACCTAAATACTGATGTAGGTGTTGCCATCTAGAGAAGGATGGAAAGCTGACCAGTAGTGTGACATCCTCCTGGCCAGTCTGCCACCTGATGTGAGGTCTCAGGGAGCATGGTGAGGTGCTCACGGAGACCTCATCATGGGACAGAGCAAGGATAACTCCTGAGGAGCTGGCTTTATCTGACTAGCTGAAATGTAATTACATGGATAAAGCCATTTGGCCCACTCTATCCCTTTAACTAGGAAAGGAATTTAGCAGATAGGCGGCGTCTGCTGTTTCTGTTTCCTTGGTGATTCTCTTCACCCTCTTGGGCCTCTCTTCTCTAGTCTGCCACACAAACCATTCTGTTTGTTTCCAGCAGAATCACGTCAATCCTTTCATTGGTGTTTCTCAAACTAGCAGGGCATGATAGCACACTTAATCCTGGAGGCAGTGGATCTCTGTGAGATGTAGGCTAGCCTGGTCACATAGTGAGTTCTAGGACAGCCAGAACTACATAATGAGTCTCTGTCTCAAAAACAGAAACAAAACACAAAACAGTGTTTCTCAAAACAGTGTCCATCAGGGTCTTTTGTTTGGTGGGATTTACTCAAAATGTTCTGATGTCCCACTTTGACGATCCACATATATTAGTTGATCCTTTATTCATTCATTGGTTACTGATTATCAGCTGTGTTCAAGCCAACAGAGTAACCCAAGCCTACTGGCATTAATTCTAACACACTGGTGTGATCTCTGTCTTTAGAGTACTGACGACTGGTGCACTCAGGTGGGCTGCTCTCACTTAGGTCCCCAGGAGTGCCATCAGATGGGACTTGTGGGACAATCACAGGAAACATGAATGCAAGCCTATGGTACTTCCTCATGTTCAGGATCCTCATGCTCCCAACGGCTAGGTGAGACAGCTGGTTAGGGCCCTTCTAATCAAGTCCAGGAGAGACCAGACATAGATACCAGAAGTCATGTAAGTCCTGAGCCCCAGCACCAGCAACACTTCTGCTGTATTCTGTTAATGGAAGAACCTGTCTAGAGTCAAGTGTAAAGGACAGAAGTAGAGCAAAGTCAGAGCCTCTGTGCTACCTTGACCCTGTCATAACCTTCCATAAGAAAAAAAACTGTTTAGCTTTAACCTGTGTCTTAGTTAGGGTTTCTATTGCTGTAAAGAGACACCATGACCATGGTAACTCTTATAAAGGAAAAACATTTAATTGGGGTGACTCATGGTGCGACATGGTGGCATAAAGGCAGACATGGTGGTAGAGAAGTAGCTGAGAATCCAATGTCTTGACAACAGGAAGTGGTCTGATATACTGAGCATAGCCTGAGCATATATGAGACTTCACAGCCCACCTCACAGTGACACACTTCCTCCAACAGGCCACACCTACTCAAACAAAGTCACACCTCCTCTAATAGTGCCACTCCCTTTGGGGGCCATTTTATTTCAAATCACGACAACCTGGAATTCACTAAGTTGATTTGACCCATACTGTTTAGTTTTGATTTTTGTTTAAGCTTCTTCTGGGACCTTGTATTTTGTTGTAGAGTTCTATGAGATATTGATGAGATAAATACCAACCAAGATGATTAGTTTTTTAAAAAATTCCTTTGTTGTAGGAAAGGCTGCTTGTTTGTTCCTGGCTGCCCAGACCCAAAATAATCATTCAGAAACTATATCATTTGAATCATTGTTTGGCTAATAGCTTAAGCATATTTTTAGCTAGCTCTTAAATCTTAATTTAACCCATTTCTATTAATCTGTGTATCACCACATGACTG